TGCTAAGCTAGGCTAACCACGTCCAGCTCCGTATATAACACAAACACAAAGATTTAAACTGAATAATGTTGAACTGTATATCTGAAGTTGCACACACAAGTTAAACCGCTGTATATGCAGAACTTCCACTGGTGGATTGCATGATTAATAATAATAATAATTGATGATGCAGTTATTCCTGAATCCCTTTAAAGTAAAGCTGTGAAATAAGTGTTTATGTACACAAGTAAATAACCAACAGGTGTTATTTACAGAGAGAGAGAGAGCATCCATTTTAATGTCACTACGGCGTTCATGAACAGCCGAACAACAAAACCATTAAACATTAACGGACTCAGGTGGCGAGTGCCGGCTTCCAGGGCAGCTACGGTTGGATGCCGACTGTTCATGAACCTGTATAGAAACATAAATGTCACACAGAGAGAGAGATGCAGCTTTTTCTTTCCCAGCAAACCTCTCCCGTTCGTACCATTTGCCACCCGAGGCGCCACCGCCGGACGCTGTGAGCATCGTGGAGGTGAAACCAGAAGGGCCGCTCTGTTCCCCCCTCCATTATTTATCACTCCCTGCCATCCTCTCCGCTCGGTGTCCGGCGACCGGCACGCTTTGATCTCACACAGCCCGACAGATGTTTGTGGAGCGGTGGCGGTTTACTGGAAGACTCTTTGAAGCTCAAACTGGTTTTGGTAAAGAAATTTAACTCAGTTTAACAGCTTGCGTTCGGCTCCCTGAGGACCTAAAGATCTCCACATCGACCGGTCAAACACTGTAGCTCGGTCAGTCGCCCTCCGCTGTAGGTGTTCCTGTTTTGTCATTTCTGGATGCGCAGGGCTCCGCGGTCAAGTTAGCAGTGACAAATCTTTAACGTTGGGGTTAAGACTTTGAAAATAAAGGAATAAACTAAACTAAACCCTCTGCCACTCCACAGTGTGTTTTAGAGGCTGTATCTGGCTCCGTTTTTAAAGGTAAAGATATTGAAATCATATGAAACTATATGACCCATCGCATTCATTGTGTTCTTTTTCGTGAGTCTATTTGAATATTTCTGCACACTGGAGTCCATAAACTGTTATTGCATACATTTGAAAGACTAGAAAGCTGACACGTACGTCAGCACCAACCGGGTCCCAGAAATACCTACAGCGTCATATTTCGATGTATCTAATTGAAACTGTATATAAAACCTAAAGGATGCTTCAGGTCACGTTTACAGAAGTGAAATACAAACTTGTGTTGATTAAACTGTTTACTGAGCTCCCATAAAAATCAACTGAGAAGTAGCTCATTTCTCCCAATAAGCCGATACTTTAGGTGTTTTATTGCAACCAGTGGGCCGCCCCCTGCTGGCCGTTACGTAGAGTCACATGTGCTCTATTTTTACACATTTTGTTCTCCTTAATACGCCGACAAGTCTTCCAGCCGATACTGAATATCGTTACAGAAAGAGGTTTCACATTTTAACTCTGACGTAACTGCTCGCTGTAAAAAGGAACAAAACAGAGATGAGGGATTGTTTCCGTGTCCGGTGCCATAGAAACCAACCGCCAACTTGCGTTACGACGCAAACGCACACGTATAAATGCTCACAACGTTGTTGGTAAGAGCCGACTTACGACTATAATTCAGCCTTTAATCGTCATTGTTCCCGTCTTCCACATCAATTGATTTATTATCTCGGGAAAATGTTGTGAGATTAACTTGTTTTCATAGAAATGCTGATAAATTTACTACAAATCAAGTTCACACTGAGAAAACGTATAATTTCGAGGCAACTGTTTTTAATTTTAAGTCGAACTCTTAAGTTTTGAAATGAACTAATAATAAATAACGGTAAATTTAGTTGTTTCTTGAGAAAACTTTTAATCTTTG